CTTAAGCAGGAATAAAGTTTTTGAGCAACCTAAATTACTTCGGAATCTTCTATTACCGCTAAGAAAAAATATTTTTATTTTTTGGAATAAAAATTGTTTGCCAGAAACAGCATTTAAAAATGTATTTGATGAGGAGTGAAGTCTCAGTACTACTCCTTCAAAACCTCTTAAACGCTATCCACTCATAATGCTTAATCTTCTGTTATCGTACTATCATAGTGAAAACATACTTTACTTCCTGAATAGTGTTTTTCGTTCAAATTTCCTAAAAAAATTGTCTTTTTTTAAATTTCTTGGTCTTTTTATCGTTTATTTGTTCGAAACCAATTCTTTAAAACCCATCTTTTTGTAAAAGTTACTAAACGCTTGACTTTCTTACCTTCCTGAACCAAAATTTTCGAGTTTGACTCAAAACCTCAGCTGCTTTATTTACAAGTTTCACAAGGCACTTAGCTTTTAGCTTATTTAGAGTCACAAAGTAACTCCGTTTTTTTTTTTTTTTTCAAAGAAAACATAGTTTGAATAGAAAATTTTTTACCAAACTTTTCAACACTGTTAGGGAACTTATATTAAGTTTTTAGTGAATACACAGATTTTCGAGGTCTTCTTTTTCAAGATCACTCATTACCATCTTTTTACAACTTCTTATCGTTAACTTAGCTGTACTTGATCAGGAAATAACACTTTCCTGACGACAAACCTAGAATTTGAGATAAACCACTATTATCACTTTATCATTTCATAAACAATGTATATTCTATAACGATCTTCGCTGACACTAAATGATAGAACGCAGTAAAAAAGAATTTGTGTTAAAGATGGATGAAAAAATTTATAGAAATAATCTAAGCATATCAGCATTGTATGAAAGTAGTTTATTTTCTGAAATTTTTTGAGCACTTTTTTTACAATTTGCAGTTTAAAACTTACTCATAATTATTTTTAAAAATTTGTTTTTTTTCGGCAATTTATATGAAATATGTGATATTACCGTAAAGCCTAGAACTTTTTCATAATTGCGAAATTCCCCTTACACGTCTTTATTAACAAGTAAAAAAGCAATGCATAAAAAAACTTTATTATATATCAAATGAAAATGAGAAGTTAGATTCGAAACATTTAAGTGAGAACCCTTGAAAAAAACAACAGAAGGAAAACTGCATTACTGTAGCACTTATAGAAAGCTTGTAGTAGCCACTAAGATCACATTTAATAGATTCAAGCCGAAGCAGTGCCAAATGTAACAGTTGAGACGAAAGCCACGGCATTCTCATTCAATACCAATCGTTCAATTTATATGAGAAAGTTTGGAAAGAATAAATAAATAAATAAATAAATAGTAATAATAGTTATAATGATACTGATAATAATAATAAAGAAAAAAACAAGGGAACATTATTTTCAAATTTGATCATCAACATACAAATCAAGTACTAAAGCAAGAAGAGGAAAATTATACACCTGCAGCCCAGTTCACTTTATGGAATTTGGGAAGAAAAAATAAAAGCTAAACGACAAGAGCAACAAAACAAAAAAAAACACTTTAATGAATTACAAAACCTGTTTAACAGATGATAACAGAAAAATGTAGCTGATTGTAAAGCAGCCAGAAGATTATCGCAATTTTTATCAAGTACTGACTACCGTTACTTGTTGTTCTCCAACAATCAACTGCTGAATCAACTACTGAAAAGAAAAAATTTAGTGATCGTTTTTAGCAAAATTCAATCTTCATTTTGAATCAAAAACAGCTGTTATCAATTTTATTCATATATTTTATCTACTCTCACGCAAAAGCTCATTTAACTTTATATATATATATATATATATATATATATATATATATAACGAAAATATAAATAAACCAATATACTTATATTGTATAAATTCAATCAAAGCTTCTTTTAATTACCCTACTTCTTTGCAGTTTGTTCAACGTTCTTACGACATTGAAAAAGTTACTAATATTGGAATGTTAAAAATGAAGTTCGCTTTGCTACCTGATTCATGTAAAGCTCCAATTACCAGCAACAACCCCATTCAAAGCGATTTACGAAGAACAAACTGTAGCGATAATATGTGCTCACTGAAGATGATTACGACGCTTTTAATATTATTACTTTCTACCGTTCACCTCTGTAAAGTACTGTACTAAACGTATAAATAATTTGAAAACTTGAATAACATTAATTGCATGCTACAGCTCTGTCATTTTGTTTCAAGTCCCAACATCGTATTAGCAGACCATAAATTCAATTACTAGAAGCTGTTCTCCAAGAGATTTTTGTCTGCTTTGTTCTCTTCACTTTTACATTATTCACTGTTCTTTGCTTCCACAAATCACTTCTTGCTCAGAGTGACATGCTTTTCACAAACTATAAACTTTTCACAAACTCCCACTATAAAACACGCAAGAGTTCTTAGCGTAATTCTTATCCTTCTGTTTCACAACTTTCATTTGTAAAGTTATGATGTATAATATATGACAAATAACATAATATATAATATATGCCTCTCTGCGGTTACCACTCTCAACTGCATTCTTAAGGTAGGCAGTTTGAACATCGAGGTTCTACAGGTGCCGCTGAGTTAAGAACTAAATTACAAGTTTCATTCAGTGTACTATGTATGTTGTTTTTTAAGAGAAGATGTTTTATTGTGTTTACTTGTTATGTTATAGGCTACATGTTGGAATTTGACTAGTTTAATTTACTAAACGCTTTGTGGTGTAAAAATGTTTAAGAAAATCTAAATTTTTCGGTATTTTTTTGTGGACTTTAGGTTCTTTCACTCGTTGTCTACAACAAATCCGTTTCAATTCTTTGGTAATAATTGTTAGCTAAGAGCCTCATTCTAAAAGTGTTTATTAAATTAAAAGTTAAGTTAATGCACAGCTAAGTAGCTTTTTTGAAAGGAAAGATGTTGGAAGAAACACTAGACAAAAAAATATTAGTCATTGCTGAGCAGCTGTGGTTAGAAAAATAAGTGTATCTTGTAAATTTGCTTATAATAGTTTCAAAATCAAACTAAATTGTCATTATTTTACAAGGGCTCTTTTCTAATCGGCAACTGTTACGGAGATGGGTACTTCTGAAGACTGTACAACAGACCTGGCCAAACGAACGATTAATTTTTTGACACTGTAGTTCAGAGATTTTCTAGCGACCGTTTAGATACAGAGAGATGCAAAAAGTGATTAATCAGCGTGAATTTCTTAGAATTCACGGCTATACACGCTTTTAAAAGTTTTGAAAAACAAGGGTTTTACAGTGATAAGAAGTTTATCGCTTTATTTCATAACTCTGTTGAGTTTCTATCTATTCAATTAGCATTTGTTATCCACGCAGCATGTTAACAAACGGTCATAATAAAATTTTTTTAATTTAAAATACAAGGTAAATTTTGAAAAGACTTCTAAAAATTATTTTTGTAGTAATATCAGATTCCTCCCCAAGTAAAAATTTTAAATTCTGTTTCTGCATCACAAAGTAATGTCTAAATAAAAAATTTTACAAGTTTGTATATAAAAGAGTATCTAGTTTTATAACCTAACCCATAAAAATATTTTTCTGTAACAGATTTTTCGTTCTACAATGCACGGTCTTGGTTCAAGTCTAAAACTATTTGCTCTCTTAAAAAATACGCGAAATCTTCTTTTCTTAAGAGATTAAGATTTAATAAGCCTCCAAAACACAAAAAGTATGAAAAAAAATTAGCAAGTTACATAACAGACGCCTCAAAACGGTTCAAGATCTATTATCTTTAAAACTTTTTAGAAAGATTTAATGAAATGACTCTAAAAGTTAATATATACTTGCACTATTAAGCAATGCTTGCCTTTTTTTGTTTTGGTAAAACTTACAGCGAAAGAATCATAGTCAACATGTACTTGAAATAGAATGCTCTATGACAGCTGTTGATCTCTCTATAAGTATAAGAAAATGGCTAACTTTGAGTTGCTAACGAGCACTTGAAAGTCCTCTGACGTGCCTCAACTTCACAGATAACTAAGATGAGAAATTGTGCGAAGGGTAATTATGCGAAATGCAGCTTTCCCATCCACAAACGTTTTAAAATTAACATGGCAGATCAAATAACGCTACAAAAGCGTTTGATGTTTTTTCCAGCAGCCTACTTTTGACATTTACCTGGCTTTAGTAATTTTCGACTTGCTACCAAACAAATCCACGTATAAATAAAAAGATAAAATGATCGCTAATTAACCAAGTTCCATTACAACGTGAAGAAGAATAATGAAAAAGTAGGATTAGATATGTAAAACCAAGAAAGTCTTAGCGATATAAAGCTTTATTTTGACGTTTGTTTGAGCAAAGTTTTTCAATTTACTATTTTAACTTTGCTTAGCAGCTTTTACAGTAAGAAGTCCAGCAGTGATATTATTAGTACGGTCACGTTCAAGCCATCTTTGGCACTGTAAAATTTAGATAAGCAATAGAACTTCGACCAAGTAACTTAGTTTTATTATAAGCTTGAAAACTGATAGTTAAAATATATTAGTGCGTAAAGAACTAAACGCACTAGTTCTCTTCTTGCAAAAATGCTGGCCAAGTTGACTGTCAATTTATAAGAAAAACTGCCAATTATTACCATTGACTGACATCATACAAATCGCTTTACCTCCACTCTATTTTCACTGAGCAACACTAATACAGCAAAGTGCTGTTCCCTGATGGGAAAAAGTTGTTTACATGCGACGACCAAAATACCTTAACCAAAGGTTGCCGTCAAAACTTAAGTTTTTTAATATCAAAAGAAAGCGATCTTTATATAAATGTAGAAAAGATTTAGTTTTATATTTTACACAATTATTAAAGTGTAAGCACCAAATAATTTCGACCACTGATTCTACTTTTTCATAATTTTATCGCGTTGAGGCGTAAAACTATAACTGAAACATGAACTACGAGAAATAACTCTCAGAAAAATAAGCTTTTTTTTTTTATTTATAAATTACTCTCGAAGACTCGGCTAAATAGAAATACATGTCTGCTGCAACAATTCGAATTGCTTGGATAAAAAGCTTGTTACAAGCGTTGCTGCGGAACGGTCCTCACTATTCAAAGCTCCCATTATGAAGAGAGTTCTTAGAAAGCTCTAATGACGGGCAAATGAACCGTACTAATCAAACTAAGCGTAACCTTAAAAATTGTACGTCATTTTTTTAAGTTTAAAATAAACACTTAAATGTTCTTTTCATTTCACTTTGAACAAAATTTAGAGCTCTAGGGTTTATAAAAGCTGCAAGTCAGTGCAACTAGAGAATGAACCCATCTTCACGTGGAATCAACTGAGATCTTGCGAAAAATAACTTACACGTCTAATGTCGTGGCCAACAGATAGCTTACTGAATTTAAAGAGTAAATCCCTTCGTCCACTCATTTTGATGTCCTACAGGATCTGGGTTCTACAACTATTACTGTCAGCGCAATTAGCCCTTGCTGCTCACAGCACCAACCGTTAGCTATTTAAGTTTCATGCACAAGTTTAGGACGCCATCTATTCTTAAAACTTTGACGAATGACCACCTCTTTCTGGTGCTGCAATGAAACCACCAATGCACCTATCTATGGAGAACTCACTCGACACTCTGTCCTTCGCCTTTCTTGCTGAGCAAACTAAACCTGAGCAAACGTGTGACGGCGAAGGTAATTAATTTCCTTGAGTAATTTATTCGCATACTTTGAAATGATACAGCAGAAATTAACCTGAAGAGAGCAGCCTCAATAACTAATGTAAACTCCGTAGCGCAAACAAACAATCAACAAGAAATAAACTCAATTACTCCTCATTGATAAAAATTGAACAGTAAAGAATAGAGAACTACCTACGGGCATGCACAAGAGGTGGTACAAAGCACGACGTACGCAGGTAGTTCTGAAATGTTGAGCTCCACGGCCTATTTGTACACTTGAGCGATCCCTGTAGTGGTCCTTCCTGTCGCATCTCCGAGAGCTTCCTTTCCGAGAACAAATGGTAACTAACCAGTTTTCGTTTTAAGTTTGCCGTATCGCATATAGGCACGACAAACAGAGGCGAACCAATTACGCCTGAGCGAAATGAACTTATAGGTACTAGGAAATAAGCTTCAGTGAAGTTAGGAATCTGAACCATTTTATCAATAAAAATCTAAGAATATAATTAATAAAATAATGAGAATAAAATGTACGCAATTTACTCAATAGAAAATTTAAAATATTTAAATAGGATAGCTGGTACAAATATTTGATTTAAAAATCCCTCAATGTTCGTCTCTTTCTTCTTCAACGCTGTGCTGCTCTTTGGGTATTTTCACATATACATTTTTGGTGTTTTCTTTTGTGTGCCTCGCTTCAGGACATTGCTGTGAAGAAGGAAGTGACGGAAAGCATAGATGAATGCCCAACTTATGTCCTCCCGCCTCGGTATCCTTAAAGCAATTTGGTAAATAATACCGTAGCTCTCTATCCTGAAATACTAATTCAAACTCTAGTTTTCCGGCTTCTAGCCTTATCACTTCAGCCTCTACTACAGCTCCTAATTCTAGCACCCTCCAAAGTCTTATCCTGTCGTCGTAGATCCTTTCCTGGCCTTTGAAACCGTCTCCAGTAATTGCAGTTTCTTCAGGATTAATCTTGACATAACTTGCCATAGCCAAAATGTAAAACGGTCCTTCTCCCGCTTCAACGTGGAAATCCTTGGCTTGAACTGGTGATCTCAAGGTTCCCTGATGAAGAAAAGATTTAATGGATACCCACCCATGAATCAGTATAAACCTAACCGTCCCGTGTGTCTTCCCTACTTGATACGATTTCACTATTACTCTATCGAACGAGTTCAATAAGTCATTTTTCACGGTTTGCATAATTAAAGAAGCTGTACAAATGATGTTTTTATAATCCAAATCATCTGCATCTAAGGCAATAGTTGCAAAATTGCGACATACCTGACAAACAATATAGATTGGCTTCTTTTCGAGAACAGTCCCCCTCATTCAAGTGAGAACATATTGACTTTTGAGCATCATATCAAAATAATTGAAACACGCACAAGCAAACGTTTAAGTACCACGCAAAAATCGAAAAACGTGGTGTAGTGAAACTTGTCTCCTCACTTATCGCACCTAGTTTGAAATACAGTTCTTATATCGGCTACACCAAACCATTCTTACTTTTCCTGTTGTAAATTCCTAATAGTCAACCTACTGTACTGATGCGCTTACAATCCCTACCCTTTAAGTCGTAATCTCTTACATTATTTATAGTAAAGATTGAAAAACCAATTTATTTCAATGCTGATATCAAAGAGCAAATACTTATAACGATGAGAAACACAAACCATAAAATAAGACTGGTTATTGACCAATTAAAATTATCGAGGGGACAGATAGAAGAATTATCGAAAAAAAGATGTAAAGCGAAGAAAGAACGTGTCTAACACCAAAAAATAGATTGTTTAACCAACAAACTAAGTGAATAGAAACTTAAGAAAAAGAAAAACTAATCTTGGAAATCAGAGTAAAAATTTCAATCGAATAGGAGGAGAAGATAGTCAACGAAAACTGGTAATTAATAGATAGATCAACAAATCAAAAAAATTCTGGCTTTCTCTACCCCGGATTTTCACACGCTAATTTTGGTAGACCAGATAATAGCCTGACCTTTACCTTGTAGATGGGGTGATCAAGTATCCAGAGGTTATATTGGATTTGGAGGTCCAGCAGTCAATTACCCGGAAGTGTTCTTTGATTCTGGGAGGTCCTACTACTCTCTCATCTAATTCTTACAAGGCTTAATGGAATGTCAAAGGTGTGAATTTACAGTTAAAACATTATTGTAGTGTCAACTACAACACTTCCACTGCACAAAATATTATAATCCGCCAGAAGAAGTATAGAATTTGATAAAATCATTAAGCGCGACGGAATCTATTTGACTGTCAAGATCTTTGAGCAGTTGTCTCCAAAGTTGGCCCCTTTCCAATAAGGCTCGGCTGCCTAATATAATTATTCCTTCTCGTGCACGAGTGAGGGCGACTGTAAGGCGTTGATCATGGAACAAAATTTTTCCTGTTTTGTCGTTAAGTACAGTTGCCAAACGAGTTGTCAGTGACATGACTATATCCGCCTCCTTTCCTATAAAAGAATTCACTGTGTAGATTAATATTTGCTCATCTAGGTTCCTTAAATCTCGTACCGTCAAACTGTAATAGCAGAGTATAACAAATTTTACTAAATTTTGTTGTTGTATTAAGTTGTAGATCAATCGGACTGCCTTTATCTGCTCGGCATTTGTCAAGCTAAGTAATAGGGTGCAGAGTTCTTTTCCAGGAACGTCTAAAAATAGCATTGGTATTTCATTATATGGGTGAGGGGAACCCCAGCTGTCTCCACAATGTCCTTTCTTGCTTAGTGGGTATTGGAATGACTTCTGAACCGTAGAGGACTCTGAAAAAAACTCGTGCTAGCGTAGGATAAAAACAATACAAACTTTTCAGTGCAATCTAAATAATCGTCTTGCGGCTTAAAAGTTTATCGACGCAACCTTCATGTCCGACTGGTACTATCTTGTTTGGTGATGATCTCGTGTAAAGAGGTAGTTGCTTTATATCGCTAGTCAAGAATAATTTATTGATTGCTGGATATTGTAGATTAAGACTCGAAAGATTCAAGTGAGTAATTAAACCAGCTTCGTCGATAATCATTTTTTCACGTGGCAGTTTTCTTCTCTAAATTGATCCAGGAGTGCTGAGATTATCGCTACAATTTCAAAAATAATCCTAGGATGACGGTAGGCTAAAATTTTTTCCATTGCGAAATGTTTGCGGAACTTCTCTCCATTATGTGGGAGGCGCTCTGTTAAATATTTTTCTATATTTTGTCGTTCATCCTTTTATCCTTTTCCATATGTTCCCTTGTTTTTTTCCAAACAACTTGCAGGAGCTCCGGAATACGACAATTACTCCATGCTTCTTTTTCTTCTCTGATCAGGATAAGTTCGGCGGTAGTCGATTGTAGAAACAGTAAATGGCTTGTAGGTAGACTACTAACGCACTCAAAAAGCGATTTTGCCAAATTTTGGACCGCGTAGTTCGTCGTAGCTGTGACGAGGATGATGCCTTCTGTGTTTGTATACCAGTACCATAAGGCAACTGCTGCCATAAACGTTTTTCCAGTGTGCTGGTGCCTGTTGGAATAGAATTGGAGTAGAACAGGTATTTCATTTGTTTCAGGGATCCATACACTTTCATTTGTTCATTCTCCAGTAGAACTGTTTTATTAGGAGTTTGAAAACTGATTCTCGTCTGAGTGAGAAATATTGGTAGGTTTCTTTTCCTCAAAATACAAGACAATACCGGATGGGTTCCTTCGTTCATGATATAATTTAGTCGTCGGTATTTGGTGAGACGAATATTTTGCGGCCGGTGTTATCTGTGTCCGGGTAGAATTGGCAGCCGATGTCTTTAACTTCTAATTCCAAAGTGTCTTCTAGGACAATATTATTGATAGTCATTTCGAACCCGCTTCTCTGGCGTCAAATGTCATAGCCAAATGGTTCCATCCAAAGAGTCGTTCAAGGCGCCCACACCCGTAGTCTTCTAGCTAATATTTGCAACTCCTTTTGGTTGCGAGGTGGCGGGATTTATAATATTAAGATGGCACTTGGATCCGAAGTGGAAATACCTTCTACAAAAATTGAGATTGCTTTGTAAGTCGTAGAGTAATACGTCTCTACTAGTCGGTTTCGGGAGAAAATAGCTGATGTTAATAGGAGTTCTTCATAGAGCCGAATTCGTGTGATCGTCATTGGGCCTGGTTGAAGCGGGTTTCTAAAAATTCCTTCAACGTCATATTAAAACCTGGCGGTTTTAATAGCCCAAATTTGGTGAGCAGGAAGTGACTTTCTTCAAGGTTTTTCTTTCTCATATTTCTTCAGTAAGAAATAATTCTCAAAGAATAATTCACTCTCGGGTAATATAGTTGTCTTCAGACCTACGATCTCCTCAGGTACTGGTAAATGGCTATAAAATTCTCTTAGTTGAGTGTCATACAGCCTTTGTTGGGCGTATAATCCATTAAAGACGACGTTCATATATGTCTTCTGTCCATTCTTAGTGTTTTGATATTGCATATATTGAACGACGCATGATATCCACGCTTCATTCCGCCAGTGTATCATTTCGTAAGATCTAGCATGAGTGATGGAAATGATCATTTGATTTTTCCACCAATCGCGGATTTTGTCTTTCTTGAATCTTTGAATATCTTGTTCTATCCCATCAAACATGGTCACTGCATAGGTACGCACGAGGATGAAATCAAAAGGTCAATACCAAGGCATCGAATAAACATTGGAGGGAGCTCTTGTCGACTGACGGCCCCATATATATATTTGAG